CTTTTTTTTTTAAATAAAAGTTTTCAAATTTTATTAGAATGTTCCAAATTAGAATGGGTTTGATTTTTAGAACGTTCCAGATTAATTTTATGATTACTTTTAGGAAGGATTAAAAGTATTCATTCTTTTTCTGTTAACCATCCTTTAAACATTGACAAAATGGGGAAAAGCAAAATAATTGATCAGACCTTCGTAAACGTATTGTTGACCTTCATACAAATGGAAGTAACGAATCAGTTAAATATGCCATTGAATTTAGTTGGTACGATAGTTCGTCTCTGGAAGACGTGTCATTCCATTCGCCCCCCCTACTAAAAAAAAAAAAAAGAAGAAAGCTCTGGTCGTCCTAGACACGTAACGGAACGTACGGCAAGATTATTGGCGAGAAAAGTTGGCAACGAGCCCCGAGTTACGCTTAAAGAACTTCAGGGAGGACTACAAGTAACTGGAGTAAAAGTGAATAATACGGATACAATTAGTCGTTCACTTCGTCGATATGACATCTTTTCGAGGAATCCAAGGGGAAAAAAACATTTCTTAAGCAAAAACACATTCTTGCTAGACTGGATTTTCCAAACGACCATTGTATCAAACCTGCAACATTTTGGGAAAATGTACTTTGGTCAGACGAAACGAAAATTGAACTTTTTCACAGAAATGCTGTGGTAAAGTTCTGGAGAAAGATGTGTACTGAATATTTGCCGAAGAATACTATCCCAACAGTAATACTTGTGGGTAGATCAATCGTAATCAATCGTAATCTGGGGTTGCTTTAGTGCTCAAGGTGTAGGGAACATTGAACTAATAGAAGGGAAGATGAATTGAGCATATTATAGGGATATTTTGGAAATAAATTAATGTCAGAGTGCACATTCGCAGGGCTTGAAACCAGATTGTGTCTTTCAAGAAGACAAAGACCCTAAACTCACTGAAAAGCATACAAAATCTTGTTAGGTTCAAATAAAATAGAGATTCTCAAATATCAATCTTCAGATCTCAAACCGATTGAAAATTTATGGAGAGAGCTGAAAATGAGAATTCAAAGAATGAACCTGAATGAAATAAAGGAATTTTATTGTGAAGAATGGGAAGATATTAGCCAAAAAACATGCAAGAAATACGTAGGAGACTACCCTAAATGCCTACATGCTGTAATTTGCAATAACGGTTACCCTACGAAATATTAATACATAATTTAATTAATGTATTATAAAATACTATTATTATTAAATATTGTTTTTTCTTCGTGCGATATTGAATCTATTTACATGCAACAAAAGTAAACATACATTAAAACTAACTCTTCTCTCCAACCCCATATTCTTAAATGCATATAAATACACGTCATTGCACATGACTGATGCACGTTACCGTTGCGCGTTGCTGAGATGATTTTCTACGCTTCGATCTATAAAGACATTTTATGAGTTCCTTAAAACACTTCTTATTTACTTTTCTTGCCTTTTTCTCTCACCCACTCTGCTCCGTGTGAGTCGAAAACTTGGATCCAGTCTTAATTTCAGATATATTATTTATATGTAGGTAATTCACATTTTGGAAAATGTGTTTGATATATTGAATAGACAACAGAGAAAGTCTGTTTTAAATAAAACTAGTTGAAAAGAACAATCTCTGCCTATATATATATATATATATATATATATATATATATATATATATATATATATATATATATATATATATTAATTGAGTCTAGAATAAGAAATCTCAACAGAATGCAGAAATCGCTGGACGTCCGTTTCGTCCTTTTCGTGATTCATCAGCAGTGTGTATTTACTACCGAGAACCGAATCCGGATTGTTACGTCATATCACTGAGTCAGCGGAAAGGAAACCAAACCGAAGTGTGTGTGCATATATATATATATATATATATATATATATATATATATATATATATATATATATATATATAATATATAAAAGGCTTAAACACTAATATTCCATGGTCATAATTTATTCCATTGGAATCGTAAATACGATCCAATTCATCAGACCTATAAATTCAAAAAAAAAACAGAAAAAACAACTCCGGGAATAAAACATAAAATTTAGAGAGAGTTTAAGTATGAGAGTGTGGGACGAATGTTAGAGCTAAAGAGAGGGGTAACAGACGAGAGAAGGTGGGGATTAAAATTTAACAGAGAGAAGTTTTAAAGAGGGGAGTCAAAGACGGTTTAAGTGAGAGAAATATGAATGTTGTCGGATGTCTAATACATTAAAGATGTAACCGGAAAGGATACATTTTGTGGTGACATACACACACAATAGACGATCTAATCTTAAAGAAGAGGGAGGGAGAGGAAAAGAAAAGAAAAAGGGGATGGGAGAGAGAGGTGGGGCAGGGGAAAACTAAAACTGGAGGTCATTTACTGAAAGGGCCGCTGTGTAATTAAGAAAATTTGACAAAATTAATATATATATATATTTGACAATATATATATATTTGACAAAATTAATATATATATATATATATATATATATATATATATATATATATATATAAATATAATATATATAAAAAGAACAGTAAGATATATAATCCTGTGTTCTTATTGATATATTTTTTGGTTTTTACAAAGCAGTGCTCAATGTAAATTTA